ACGCCCCTCTCCTCCCTCTTCCCGCCCCCCGGACACCTGTCGGGTAACTGGCCCCTGCAGGGTGGCAGCGCGAGCGTCCAGTCGGACGTGTCCATCAGCTGAATGTCTCCGTTTTTGTTTTAAACGAGGCCCAGCACTGCCTGTGGGTCGGGAAGGAAGGGGGTTTCCTGGCATGAAGTCTGATTTCTCTTCTGAATCTATTATTTTCAGATTTTATGAAGAATTTCCAATTAATCTGAAGACAGGAGAAGCCAACCTCACCCAGATCTACCTACAGGTAGCAGAAGGCTGGGCTGGGCAGCCCTGGCGGGGAGGTCGCCTACAGGCCAAGGACCACAGGGTGTCCTTCTCTCCAGGAGGCCCTGGACTTCATTAAGAGGCAGCGGGCAGCTCAGCGCCCTTTCTTTCTCTACTGGGCCATTGATGCCACACACGCACCCATCTATGCTTCTAAGCCCTTCTTGGACACCAGCCGGCGAGGGCGGTAAGTCCTTGGCCAGAGAGACTCAGTCTCCCAACCTGGGGCACTTGGCTCTACTCAATCACCCCCAAGGACAGGGCACTCAGCACGCTCACGTCCCCAATGAGTGATGACAGGAAAGGGCTGAAGTGCCCCCTCCTCCTAGAGCTGTCGCCAGCCCGGGGTTAGCGGAAGGGGGCAGCAGGTCCCCTCCGGGACCGACTCTGGGACTCGGGGCTCCCCCTCCCCTTCTGTGAACTCAGCCAGCTGTGCTGCTGTCCCTGATGTCACGGGGTCACAGCTCTCCGACCGGCCACCAGAGCCCCGTCCTCCCCGCAGGTACGGGGACGCCATCCGGGAGATTGATGACAGCGTCGGGAAAATCCTGAGCCTTCTCCGGGACCTGAGGATCGCGGAGAGCACACTTGTCTTCTTCACTTCCGATAATGGCGCTGCCCTCATCTCTGCTCCCAAACAAGGCAGGTGTTCCAGCCGTTCCTCCCCAGGCCTCATGTCCACAAACCAGGCCCCACTCGGGGCCTGGATCACTGAGACGTACCTGGTACTTCAGCTGCCCCTGGGGCAGTGAGAAGAGGGTGAAGATGCCCGCTGTCCTCCTGGGGGTCCCCGTCCAGTGGGGGGACACCTGCTGTCCTCCTGAGGGTCCCCATCCAGTGAGGGGGACACCCGCTGTCCTCCTGAGGTCCCTGTCTAATGGGGGAACACCCGCTCTCCTTCCAGGGACCCTGTCAGCCTTCTCGTTGGTGTTTTTTTATTCTAAACTCAGCTACAGTGCAGTGGCGTCTGGCTGCATTTCTGTTAGGGAGCCTCTCTTCATGGGGGTGTAATGAGCATCTTCCCCAAGAGCTAAGATGCATAACACATACTCCCCAGCCCCACTGGCAGCCAGACCCCGGCTCAGGCCCACCTCACCCCTCAGAAGCTCTTCCCGAGGCCTCATGGGGCTGGTGTCCAGGAGAGGAAAGACTGAGCCCCCTGACCCACAGCTAGCATGCTGGCCCAGCAGGGCACCACTGTGCTCCTGGGGACCCCAGGGCCCTGGTGCAGCAAGGGGCTGCACGCCCCGACAGCGCTGGGCTGGGCCTCGGCCTCTCTGTGCATCAGGTGGTCCTCTGGTGTCCGCTGTCCAATGGGGGCTCCCAGCCTGGGGTGGCACACCTCTCCATCCTGCTCTCCCCAGAAATGCTGGCGCCTCCAGGCCCTGGTCACCCAGACGGCTCTGGAAGGAAGGCTGTGGCTTGCGTGAGGAGGAGCCGCAGCCAGGTGCTCAGGGCAGTGGAGCCTCAGGGTCTTAGGTGGCAGGGACAGCACAGCTGGCGTAAGGCAGAAAGCATCCTGGCACAGGCACAGGGGTTCAGGGCCCACCGAGAGTGCTGTGCGGTGCCACCCCTGGCCTGGCCCCACTCTCCATGGGGGCATTGTCCTCACGCAGCCTCCCCATTCAGCCAACAGTCCAGAGATGGGGTGGGGGCCCCTGGCTCCATCCCAGCAAAAGCCCAGGGTCCAGCAGGATTTCAGCATGGCTGCTGTCCCACCCAGTGGGGCACCCCAGACAGGCTCCCCCAATGGTCAACAGGGCCTGGGTGTGGACGTCAGCCCGTCTTCATTGCCAAGTTACAGAACAGTTCATATGCACAAGAACGTCTGTACGTGTGATTGTAAGATGTAAATAAGCATGAGATGAAAATCCAGGGGCCTGACGCCGCTGAGCCCCGTGATCCTGCTGAGGTGGAGACCGTCCTGAGCACCCTGCGTGCAGCTGGCAGGGGCATGCCCAGCCTGCGGGCTTCCCCGTCCCTCACCAAGAGCTGCCCACCCTGCCACGTGTAGGTGGGGCTCGGGGCCTGCGCAGGGGTTGCTGGGACGTCACCATTCTCTTCTGCTTATTGTTCAGGTCCTGCGGGTGAGAGCCGCACAGCTTGCCTGGCCCAGCAGGGCACCACTGTGCTCCTGGGGACCACGCTGGGCTCCGCAGTCGGCGGGGCTGCCCTCTGCCCACTGGCGCTCCCCATAGGAGTGGTTCAGGGGCGCCTGCTCACAGGGCTTGTCAGGAGTGGCCCACGCCCTGTCCCTGATGGGTTCCCCATGGGACTAACTAGATAACTGAGCCCCAGACCTACACAGGCCTCACAAACTGTTTTAAGAAGCGGGGTGCCTGCAAAGTGATGGTGAGTCCCAGAAAACTGTCAGTTGGGAAGGGTGTCAGGGCTCTGCCTGAAAAGGTTCTGAGGCTCCTGGTCACAGGGCCACGCTTGCTGTTTCTGAGGAAGGGTCTGCATTAGGGGCACAGTGTGAGGACCCAAGCGCCGGGGTCAGAGCCCCAGAGGTGGCCAAGCTGGGTGCAGACCCACCCTGGGAGGACCCTCCCCACCCCACCCCGCCTTGAACTTGAGGCCAGAACTCTGTGGCTGATCCTTTGTCTCCATGACGGTCTCCATGCCTCGGAGTTTCAGCAGGGCCACCTCTGAAGGTCCCAGGCAGACAGATGCATCCTGAGGGTGGGCATCCGGCGGCATGTGCGGCCCTGGGGACTCAGGACAGCCGGTCTGATGGGCAGCCACTGTCCTCCGCAGGTGGCAGCAATGGCCCCTTCCTGTGCGGGAAGCAGACCACATTTGAAGGTGGGATGAGGGAGCCTGCGATCGCTTGGTGGCCTGGGCACATCCCTGCAGGCCAGGTGAGTCCAGGCTTGGTCGTGTGCCTGTGGTCACCCCAGGGTGTGAACACTCGGCCTCCCCCTGGCCCGCTCTCTGCAGTCACTCTGCCTTGCCCAGGAGATGCTGGGACAAACCCAACCCTCTCCTCCTCCAAACCAGCTCCTCCTGGGGAGGCAGCTGCTGAAGGGATGTAGGGAGACCCTCCCTGGGGGGATCCTGTCCCACCCCCTTACAGGGAAGGAGGCTTTGTGGCAGTCTTGAGTTAAACTGAGTCAAAGAGGTCTCTTCTCTGCAGGACTTGTCAGAGCCTGTAGCATGCTAATGGGTATCATGAACATCTGGCAAGCCAAGTTTTTAAAAGTTTGTTTGGTCATAGAACCTGAATTTCCAAGTTGCATGTCCCCAGGCCACTATTCTGTGGACACTCTGAGACAGCGGCTGCCCGCCCATAGTGCTTCTGTCTGCAGTGCACAGGCGCGGACAGCAGGGCTGGGTGGCCTGGCCCCTGGCTGGGTCTACTGTCCCCACTGGCCACCCTTGCCTGCTCTTCAGGGCCCCTCTCTCAGGGTCTTCTCCGGCCGGGTGCCTTGCTGCAGACCCTCATAAACACAGGGTGTCGCTAAGCATGCAGAGCGCCGTCCTTCCTTCGCCCGCCCCCTCCTCGTGAGCATCTCCCGAGAGCATTGTTCTCAGCACTGCTGTGGCTCAGCCTTCATGTGGCACCGTGACAAGGGCCTGAGTCCCTGTCGGCCACGCATGCAGCCAGCACACTGTGGACGACAGCAGGTGCCTGCACCCTCTGGGCGTCAGGGGTCAGCGCCGGCTCAGAGGCCTTGTGTCTGGGGTTGCAGGGCTGGCTCCCCCAGAGGCCCTGGGGAGGATCGGTGCCTCATCCTTTGCGGCTTCCAGGGGGCCCCTCCCCCATCGTGCCGGCCGGCAGCGGCCAGATGAGTGTCACCCGTCACTCTGCTCTGGCCCTCCTGGCCCTCGTGGGGTTCCAGGATCAGCCCCGTTTTCAGCTGACTGGCACCTTGATCCCGCACAGCCCTGGAACCCTTTTCCATGTAAGAGAACAGTCACAGGGTCCGGGATTGGGCATGGACGGCGTTGGGTGGGATGCCATAGGGCGGGAGTCTCTCTGCCTGTCTTCATCGTCATCCGCATCCCACAGGTTAGCAAACAGGCCCAACGAGCGCAGTCACCTCTGGGTGGCCAAGCTGGGTGCAGACCCGCCCTGGGAGGACCCTCCCCACCCCACCCCGCCTTACAGGGAAACACTCCAGCCTTTGTGGGTGTCCCCCATCCCTCGCCGGCCAGGCTTCCAGGCCCCTCTGGGCCCTGCTTCCTGGAGGAGGAAGAACACAGTGCAGGGTCCGCCGTCATCCACGGCCCATGGCCCACAGCACACGCCAAGACCAAATCCTACGGGCTGTAGGGCTGTGCCCTGTAGAGCCACGAGGATTTCATTTAAACCCTCACATCTGTCCACCTGCTTTCGGGTGTTCACCCCCTTCCCACGTGCAGGCCAACCTCACTCATTGCAGCTGGTGACTCACCCAGCTTTGACTGAGCTGGGCCTTCAAAGTGCTGGTAACAGCCTCGGGGGCTTCGCACCACAGCCCCCCCACAGGTGGAGCGCACCTTGAAGGCACTGCTCACATCATGGTGCGCGTCTCGGCTGCCCTGTGTCGGCGCGGCACATCGGACACCGGCCCCCCGCACCCCACCGCCTCAGCTGCTCTCCTTATTTATTTTTTTCCAGATGGTTAAAGTATCTGGATTTCTTTCCATTCTTCCCTTTTTCCTCCTAAATAAAAAAGTGAGGAGGGGGTGGCCCCTGGCATGAGGGAGCCCCTGGTTGTGCTCCTCTTTCGCAAAGGCTTCACAGAATTTTTTAACCAAAGGCTGGCCTTTCCACCCCCATGTGGGCTCAAATGGCATGTGCGCTGGGCGTCCACCCAGAGTGTCCCCTATGAGGAGGCCGGTCCTGTGGGACCAGGGTCAAAGAGAGGCCCCCGGGGTGGGGGCAGTGCGTGCTTAGTTGGGCTGCCATGGCTCAGGGTCCTGGCTGGCAGCAGGTGCCAGGCCCACCGAAGTTCTCCGGCTTCTCCCCTCCGATGCAACCTGTGCCCCAGACCCTGCCGGGTGAGGCTGAAAGGGCAGGTTCCCTTGGGAAGGCGCTGGGACCGGGGCATGTGTGCACACAGGCGTACAGTGGCGAGGACTGTCTAGGGTCTGCGTGTGCATGCTGCAAGGGACTGACTGCACGTGTGCCAGTGCACTGCCTCTGCAGACCGGGCCGGGCAGAATGGCACTCACTGGGGGCCTGGCCCCCGGCTGCTGTCTGGTCAGGGCAGGGAGTCCTGAGTGGGTCCCTGCTGTGTCCCTGTCAGGTGAGCCACCAGCTGGGCAGCTTGATGGACCTCTTCACCACCGGCCTGTCCCTCGCAGGCCTGAAGCCACCTGGTGACAGGGTGATTGACGGCCTCGACCTCCTCCCAGCCATGCTGCAGGGCCGGCTGATGGACAGGTGGGTCTTGCTGGGCACTCGGCCCTGCCCAGCTGCCTCGAGGCAGAGGGAGGCGAGGCCCCGGAATGCTCATGCGTGAGCCCCAGTCCTTGGGATGTGCCTGGCGCACAGGATGGGTGGGGGTCCTCGCTCCCGCCGTGTCTGCAGCCTCTGCCTCGGGCCGTGGGCGAGGGGAGAGCACATCCGCTCGCCAGCTCACCAGCCTTCCCGATCCCTGGCGCCTGGCTGACCTGTGTTCTCTGCCGTGTGCCCCGGCCAGTTCTCTCTAGCTGGAGACCAGCGATCATTTTCTCCAACCAGATGCGCCTCCCAGGCTGCTCTAAGAGGGGCATAAGCTTCCAAGGCTGAGTGGCGTGGCGGGGGAGGGCCTGCTGCCCTGAGCTGTGCATGGCCTCGGCTCCAGGCAGGGGCCAGATGTGCTATGTTCTAAACTCGTGGGCGTTTTCCCTCTAAAACCTGCTGCAGGGGCCCGTTAGGAAGGAGCTGGAGGCAGTGGCTTCTCTGCTGGCATCTGCCGGGACCAAAGGGGAAGCCTGGGCACCTTGTCACTTTTGCGCCCAGTGCGACCTCAGCACAGTCCTTCCTGTAGGATTTAAACTGTAGTGGTGCCTGTGACTTTCTTGTGTCGCTGACCTTCTCCTGCCTCCCCGACAGGCCCATATTCTATTACCGAGGCAACACGCTGATGGCGGTCACCCTCGGCCAGTACAAGGCCCACTTCTGGACCTGGACCAACTCCTGGGAGGAATTCAGACAGGTGAGGGCTCAGGGCTCCATCCCCCGGGGGGACGCATCAGGCAGTGGCCAGAGGCCTTTGCGGAGGGTGGTGGCCTCGGGGTCACCTCTCTGCTCTTTGTGCTTACTGACCATGAGGAGCCAGGGGGCAGCATGGTATAGCCACAAGGATGGCCCCTTAGGGCCTGACACCCCCTCCAGGGACACCCCATCCGCTCTCAGGCCACCCAGAACCTGGTGAAGGAGGCCTCAGGGCAGGCTCTGCCCCACACCCAGGTCAGACACCTCAGGGCCCCAGGCGGACCTGGGCACCTCCCCCAGCGCTCTGGCCCCTCCTGTCTCTGCCCCCAGGCATGACCAGACTTGGCGGCCCCTCTCAGTGGGGTGTCTTAGTGTCTGTGCCACACAGCCTGCCCTGAGGGCGAACCACCCATGCCAGCTGTGCTGGCCACCAGTGCTCAGCACAGGGTCTGCTTCCTGCTGCCCTCAGGGCTTAGGCACCTGTGCACAGCCTTCCCTGTCCGCCCAGCAGCTCCCGCTTCCCTCCTCCTGCCCTCTGGTCTCCCGGCCCCCACCCCTTATAGGGAGCTCGGGGGTCAACCTACCCCCCAAGCCCCTGGATCTTTAGACACAAGAAATGGCTGATAATGTGCCTCAATTGAGAAGAAAAGCAAATTTAAGTTAATGAGAAATCTAAGTACTAGAACATTCTGTACCAATTGGGAGGCAGCCTGTGGGCCCGTGGGTCACAGGTCTGGTGCCAGGCTGGGCGGTGGCAGGCAGGTGGGGCGCACCTGTTCTGACACCCAGACCTGAGTGCCCTGTGTAGATGTGTGGTCACAGCCCAGGCACACGGACAGAGCTGAGGACACTGCGCTGCCTCCCACATGGCCCAGTGCCTGGAGAACGTACCCAGCTGTGGGCAGAAGCAAGGACTGGCCAGAGGTGGGCCCGGCTGGACAGAGGGAGCCTTGGCTCCTGTCCTGCTGTCTGAGCTCTGGAGCGAGCCTCCCCTACTTCCTGGGTGCCCTGTGGGCCCCCAGACTCACTGGGACAGCAGCCTCAACCTGGCCCCACTCGCCCTCAGCCCTGGGGCCACCCACCGCCTCCAGGGGCTGTCCCCTGCCCCCGACAGGGCCGCGCCTGGTTCACCCCTTTAGGTGCCTAGAGGCTGAGAGGCCCTGGCAGTGCCTAGAACCCTCTCAGCCCTCAGAAAGGGGCCAAGGCTTGCAGTGTGGGGACCCTCGGGCCACCGGTGTGGCCTTGCGTCTCACTCCACCCCCGGGGCCTCGTGGCTGTTCCCGAGTCCAGGGGTGCCTGGCATTCTGGAAGCTGTCCCTTGGGCTCTTGGGGCGGGATCCAGCCCAGACCGAGGGAGACAAGCCCAGCTTCTGCCGGCTGGAACCAGAGGGCAGGGAGCCTCCCCTGGAAAGGGCACCGGAAAATGCAGAAGGCCCTGCCGAGGAGCGGCTGCTGGCTCGGCCTGTCCTGCCCGCACCACATGTCCGGGGCGGTCAGAAGCATCAGAGCACCTCTTTGCAGCTGGGCATAGCTGGGCATAGTTGGCACTGGGCCCTTGCCTGCATGGTGCCCACGTTCTCACTGCTTCTGTCCTCTGAGGGACGCTCAGAGGGCCTGGTCGGCTGGTGTGTGCGGCTCAGACCTCTTGGAGACGAGGAGTCCCTCCCTGGGAGGGCGGCTGCCCAAGCCCAGCACGGGGGCGCAGGGCCACTGCATCGCGGTGCCCCGTGGTTTCCTTCTAACGCCAACAGAGCAGCCCTTCTCCTCCAGGGGTCAGTAGCTTCAGGGGTGCGTGAAGCCAGGAAGGACCTCACAGGTGGTGGCAGCACCCGTGGCCATGGACAGCTCCCCAAGTGTGGGGGGATGGTGGGGACTTGGACCCGCATCCTCCCCCTCTTCCAGGCAGTCAACACATCAGGGGCAGCTTTGTTCGGAGACCACCGGCTGCCCCATGGGGCCCCACACACAGTCCCGGGCAGCTCCCGACTTATGGTGGCCTCAGGGTGCGGCTTAGCTGAGCGCGTGGCTCTGTAGTCCCAGGTTCCAGGTTCCCTGTGTGGACTTGGGGGGCCTCCTGGCTGTGCGCTAGTCCAGGAGCACCTCAGAGCCCCCGGGCCCCATCCGTGTCCTGGGTCATGGAGGACTCTTGGGCCCACTCAGCTGCTGAGTAGCAGGGGTGGCGCGAGCACATGTGCCACCATGCCCACAGGCCCGTGACCTGCGCTCCTGGGCCGAGTCCCACGGGGCTTTTCAGAGTGCACACTGCCTCCCTCCTGCCCACCCCAGGCGGGCTGAGAAGTTCAGCTGCCCCACCTGCGTGCCCCTCGGCCCCTGGCTCAGCAGCACGGCCAGCCGGAGGGCCGGGGCAAGACCTCTCCACAAGGAAACCACACTCCTCAGCAAGGTCCTAATTAAGTAGCTTATCTGATTGACATCCACATCATAAAATGTGTGTTTTCTGTCTAGATTGAATACTTCTACACTAACTGCTGATCATTTCTATGATAAACACGGTTGTTTCTCCCACTGTTAAATCCACAATGTTCTCCAGCAGTTCTGCTCCCAGAGGTCAAAGGGTCACCCACTTTGGAACCCACCTGGGACCCTCCACCAGCTGCCCTCCACCTCTCGTGTCCCAGCACCCACTCTTCCAGCCACTGCCTCGGGGGTCTGTAGCCCAGTGCAGATGAGGGGGCTTCTCACTCCTCGGCACCCTGCATTGCTTACAAGCAGGGGGATCACTGCTCCGCCAGCCGGCTGTCCGCTGCAGACAGACAAGGAGTGCCTCAGGTTTCTGTCAAACCACTGCCGTCTCCGGAAGCTGCCCCCCCCAGCTGAGCGGGAGCAGCACAGCGCTGCTCTGAGCCCCCAGTTTCAGGCTGACATGCACGGGTCACAACCACCTCTTCAGACCCTGTAGGCAGTGCCCTGTGTTGGCTGCCGGCTGGTGCTGAGCTGTCTGGGGTCCCGGGGACACCGGAGCCTCGGGAGGGGAGGCAGCAGGCTCTTCTCTGCCTGAGTCGGGGGGCCGTGAGAGGCAGCTGCCGAGCCTTGGGGAGAGCTCCCCATGGCAGCCAGAGTTGGAGAGAAAGCCTCCGGCCAGGGTGCCATGAGGCCTGAAGGCCACCCCAGGACCTGGACAAAGCTCAGACCAGGACACAGGAAGCCCATTTCAGATGCACTTCAGAGGACAAGGGGAAGGAGCTGAGGGCAGGGCTGCCTTGGCCGCAGGCTGCACTCGGGCCTTCAGGAAGGCCGGCTGAGCTGCTGTCAAGGTCCCTGCCTGCACCCTCGATGCCTAGTCACCTGTGGGTCTGTCCCCACGCTCTGAGTTTTCTCTTGGCCTTCAGGCCCCCCTCACCTGGAGAAGCAAATACGTCTGAATGGACACTGGGCACCGTCCCTTCGTCTGCTACGGAGGAGGGCAGGGCTAAGACTTTGCTCTAGAACTCGGGCTGTCAGGATAGGAGGTGGACTGACATATTTTAGAGATTCACCCCCCAGGAAAAAAGTAGGGTGCACAGGCGTGATTGCTCAGCAGCTCCCGGTCCAGGAGGGCAGGAAGGTTGAGCCTACAGGACAGCCATGCACGGTCCCGCTGGACCCTTGACACACCGGAGCTCCTGGGGGGTGCCGTCGCTGTGGACACACGCCTATGCACCAGCTCACCGCCCCCTCGACTTCCTGTTGCAGGGCGTCGATTTCTGCCCCGGGCAGAACATCTCGGGCGTCACCACCCACACGCAGGAAGAGCACACGGAGCTGCCCCTGATCTTCCACCTGGGACGAGACCCTGGGGAGAGGTACCCCCTCAGGTGAGCGGGGGCGCGGGCACACGGCCATGCGCTTGTCTGACAGGAGACACCTGGAGGGGCCCAGACAGCCCGCCCCGCCTGCCAGTCCTCGGGGCCCTCCACATCAGCCCGGGATGCCATCCAGCCTGCTCTCCCCTCTGGGTGCCCCATTTATCGCCCCACTCCCAGCTGTCTGTGTGGCCCAGCGGTGTGGCCCCCTGCCCTGAGCTGCCTTCAGGGATGGCCAAGGTGGAAGGTGAGGGTCTGGGCACAGGGTGGGCAAGAACCTGCAGGCTGCCCCCCCTACAGTGGGCAGCAGGGAGGATGTAGAAAGCAGTGACTCCAGCCCAGGGCATCCACCCTGGGGCTCCTTCACCCTCGGTGGCAGCACCTGCCCTCTGGCCAAGCCTGAGCTCCCAGTGAGGCTCCCAGGTGGGGCCTCTGCCCCACACAGGGGCACTGGAGGCGCTCCCCTAGCCACACGGCCCTTTCACTGGAGCTCCGTGCAGCTCAGGCCCTGGACGTGGGAAAGAAACAGAAGGGGCTGGGCACAGAACAGTGTCCCCCAAATCTGTGCCCACCAGAACTTCAGACATGGTCCTACTGGAAATAAGGACTTTGCAGAGCTAATTAAGGTGAGGGCCGCAGTGAAATCATCCTGAACCAGAGGGGCGCCCAAGTCTAGTGAGTGTCCCTGGGAGGGGCACAGACCAGAGAGAGGCCTGAGAGGGCAGAGGTGGAGGGACGCAGCCACAGCCGAGGACACCCGGGGCCCCCAGAAGCTGGGAGAAGCCGCAGGACCGGCCCCTGGAGCCTGCCACGCCTCAGACCCTAGCCTCCAGGACAAGGATGATCCTGTCACTGAAGCCCCTGCCCCAGGACACTCACACAGAGTGGGGCTCCTCTGCCATCGCAAGTCATAGGAGGCCGGAGCTCACGGCCATTTGACTAGGGCCAGCGGATTGAAGCTGAGCCCCCACCTGCCCCCAGAAGTCACTTTGGGGCCAAGACCCAGCAGGGCCTCAGCAGATTGCAGCATGCAGTTACCCAGAAGAGTTGCCTGTAGCTCGTGTGCCCACCAGGCCGCAGCTGCCTGACTGCCCCAGGACCACCCAGGGGCTCCAAGTGTCAGTTAAGGGCACAGCCCTTGTGCACTTGGCCGCAGCCTGGCATGTTTTCACATCTGCGAGGATTTCCTCCATCTTGCTTCCCATCACCTGGACCAACTTTCCAGCCGGTCCAGCCCTGGCAGCTCTGGAGCCCTCAGCTGCTATCTCATGGACACGTCCGTGGCTGGAGCAAACACGACACTGGGTCACAGGCTCCCGCAAGGTGGATCACAGAGAGATGTCAGCTGAGCCTCCGGAGCCCCGCCTCTGATGGCAGACACAGGGATGCGGCCTCTCAGACACAGATGCTTCCAAGAAGGGCAAAGCAACCAGCCGGCAGCCATGGAGGCTCAGTGTGACCCCTGCCTCTGCCAGGCTGTCTGGGCTCCTCCACCTTGGTCCACCTCGTCACCCAAGGCTGTGGCAAAGACGTGCAGAACACATACCACAGCAGCCTTTGCTAGCGCCACATCATCACCATTTGGGGTGTGCAGCGGCGGTGGGGAGCAGGCCCCCTCCTGCTCCCACTCTCCCCCCTGCAGCCCCAGAAGCCTGCAGCCCCTTGTGCCCAGGGTCACTGGGAGACACAGTTCTGGGCAAGAATACCCTGCACCACCGCCCAGCCCAAAGGGCTCCGGGGCTGAGTGCAGGCCTCTGGAACTGCCCACTGCACACACACCATGGCATGTAAACCGTCTTTCCTGGTACGTTTGGCCACAGAACCTGGAGAGACATGGGACATGCCTGAGACCCCGCTTGGAGACGCCCGCAGGGTGTGTGGAGCGAGGCCAGCCAGCAGCTGACGCAAAGACCCCACAGCCGCCCTGGAGGGAGCCCAGCCTGGGCCGGAGGGGGGTGAACGTGGAGGGCAGGAGGAAGCCTGTGAAGGCCCCGAGCGCTGGGGATGCTGCAGCTGGGCCCGCAGTGGTTCCGGGGGTCCGCCAGGGCCCCGGACAGTGAGACCAAAGGGCATGGCTGCGTCCTGTCACGTGGCCCTGCCTGAACCCCGTTTGTCCACAGGGTCCCTGAGGTGCACTCCTGCCCCTGGCAGGGCCATGCCCATGGGCAGGCGGGGTGGGGGCCAGAGGCTGCTGGATGGTGGCACATCAGGGAGGGACACCCTGGTCCCAGCCCCTCCCCAGCTGGCCTGGCTCTCTCCCTTCTAGCTTTGCCAGCTCCGAGTACCTGGATGCCCTTCGCAGGGTCACCCCTGTTGTACAGCAGCACCAGGAGGCCATGGTCCCTGGACAGCCCCAGCTCAATGTGTGCAACCGGGCGGTCATGGTGAGTACTTGCTGTGTGCAGTGCAGTCCCTGTGGGGGCCTCACATGAGTGCTGTGGGGCCAGCTGAGGTTGCAGCCGAAAACCTATCCTCCACATGCAGGTGGCCACAGAAAGCCTGCTTCCAGCGGCTGCGGCCTGCTACCCACCTGCTGCTCCGTGTCAGACCTAACAGGTGTGGCAGGGGGCTGCTTGACCCCTCTGCAGGTGCAGGACAAGCCCAACCCATGGGGGTGGGGGTGGGCACGTTGGGCAGCCAGCCAGGGTGTGCGGCCAGCCCACAGGGACATACCAGCAGGGACAGACCTCCTTTGACCCAGGGCACAAGCATGTCTGTGTGACATGCTGCTGCACAAGCATGGATGAGTCTCCTATCCCAGTGGGAAGCTCTGGTGGTGCCCCAAGACCTGCAGAATGAACGTGGGGCAGCTAAGCCCTTAGGCCCTCTCCCCACATAGCCCTCTCCCGGCCTCTCCAGGAGCCGTAAGGATAGCGGAGCGGTAGAGGGCAGCTGGCCTGGCAGGGGCGAAGGGCACTGAGCCAAAGATAGGGCCAGGGTGGGGTGGCCTCACCACTCCTCCCGTGGGGCCCTGGGACCGAGGAAGCAGGGAGCCCCTCGAGCCCCACAGGAGAAGTGAAGACTGCCAAGCAGTGTGGGCCCCAGACTTAACGGCACCCCCCCAGCCCCCACTGCCAGGTGCCCCCCACTGCCAGGCCTCTTCCCAGCCCTGGTTCCCACTTCCAGGTCCCCCCTACAGTCCCAGCTATCACCTCCAGGCCCCCCAACCCCATCCCTCTTCAGGCCCCCTCCCAGCCATGGACCCCACTTCCAGGTACCCCCAGCTGCGGCCCCTCCACTTCCAGGGCAGCAGGGGTAAGGTGGACGCTGGCATCCTCTGGCTGTCACATCAGACACCTGAGGAGCCTTTGAGAAGCACGGATGTCAGCCCCCCCAGGCCCCCCCAGACCCACAAGCCGGGCCCGGAATTACATTCTGCATGTGCCCGAGGCTTTCTCTGCTCTGCCTCCAAGGTTGGGAACAGCTTCCTTATCCAAACCCTGCCCTGCCCAGGTGGCCAGCCCCTCCCGACTGGGGCAGCCAGGACCCTCATGACCACGGGGGCCACGCGCTGCTGTCCAGAGCAGGAGGGCACCTCACCCGAGGCTCTCACACCCTCCGTGCTCCAGTTCAGTGACACGAAGACT